GAAGTTTTAAAGAAGGAGGCATGTACTTATTAGAACTGATTCTCCTCTTGAGTCTCAGGGTCCTGAATTATATACTATTTCTAAGCACAGATCCAGGATGTCAAGCAGGACCATACACCTTTGATGAGTGGTTTCAAATCAGAAGCAATAACATAGTAGTTATAGTCAAACAATGCTTGAGGACAGTAAAATGTCACTTTTCATTTGGTCTCCATTCTTTTGGCTCATTTGATTCCTTCTCTCCTTCCCTTTCTTTCCCTCTTCTCTCCCTGCCCATCCAACAAATAGGTATTGAATGCTTATTATATGCCACCCACTATGCTAGCTGCTACTAGGTTTATATTAATGATCAAACAAATATAGTCTTTTTCTTTTAGAAACTTATGTTCTAGCTCTAACAGGAGATAGAATTGCTAATTAAGTAGCAATCTCACTTAAACTGTAGGTGTTCCAATCTATTCATGTATTATATTATCTTAACATAATTTAGAAATTCATTTCTTCATTGCCTAGTCATTTCCATATCTAAAGAAAGACTCAGAGTTACAGTAGGTGTAAATATAATTAGTGCTTGGAAGATCGCCAGGTACCTAATGGCCATGCAATAAATATTCCTTCTCCATGGTCTTATAGCTGGAAAGAACACTCATGTATGAAGAAAACTTCTTTCAGTCTCTCTAGAAGAGGTGTTCAAAGAGGAGAATTGTATACAAGATAATTCATTAGGGTGGGGGGAAATATTAGACTTTCACTTTCTATTTACTTACTATTGAAAAAGTAAGAAAGAGATTAAGTTGTAATAAAATATCCTGTGTGAGCTGATGAAAGTACATTTTTATAATCTATTGAAATATATATATATATTTTGATATAATTATGTATTTTGCTGATAAGGGTAATTGAAAACTTTTGGAGGCCCACTGCATAGAATGGAAAAAATTTTCACGTTTACTTACAATTAGAAATGCATTCACTCAGCACACCATCGCCTGCAGAAAATAAATCCTCCTAGGCAGAAAACTCACTCCAGATTTGCCTCTGGAAGAGGTTTTGATTGCACCTGCTGAAGAATTTCACTGTTGAGTAGGTTGGCAGTTTTCCTGCTGAGCCTTTGGGAAACTCAGAGCGCCACCAAAGAAGTGCTAAACTGTCTGGAATAATTGTGCAAAACACATTTGTTCCTGGACTGGTGGATCTGACAAGCCAAAATAATCTAACATAGATATGCCTTGTTTTATGAAAAACGTGTTCCTGAAACATTTTATGTAAATCACAGTATTTAAAATGTAAAGGATCTTATTTAATGGAATCTGAATATTTTCGTAAAGCGAATATTCACCCTCATCTGCTGTCATACTTTGAAAACCTTTACCCCCTCATGAGATTGAGTTGATCAAATATTTTCATACACAAAGTGTGGCTTTATAAATTTTAATAAAGTTTCTCATTCATTTGACTGTCAAAGTAGTATTTTCTCTATTACTAGTATAGCCTTTACCAATTTCAGAATTAAAGTAGAAGTATCATAATGTTTTGGAAATGTAAAATTTTTTTCCTTAATATGTAGGAAGCGGGGTAAACTTGGAAGAGAAACGCTTGGGAGCTGACGTCTGTTATTTCTGTCATCTGTTGACATTCTGGTTGCATTCCATTATTCACTGAAGGCTTTGAAACCCTGGTCATGCTTTCTCTTCATCCCAATTTCTGCTATCAACTTGGGTACAATTAGACGACTTCTGTCATTAATCTGTAGTCATTATGATTCTCAATTTTCCTCCACAGCCATACTCTTGTTGACATCCAGAGGAGAGTCACCTCAGCAAACCACATCTCTAATATAGTAAAGTCTGTCACAGTTTCCTGGTCCCCTGGCTCTCCTGATCCTCCTCACAGTGTACCTTTGATTTGATTAAGACTCTCAGGCTTTGGAGTTTGGACCTTTCCCTTTTCTACACTACTACCACTTTCTAACTTTCTTTTCTATCCCACCTAGACTCTGTTAGACATCTGTTTGATCACCCTTCTTACGACATTCTCAACATTCTTTTTTCTGTCTTTGGCTATACCCTGACAACTCCAACCTTAGATCAATTCAACCATCTGTCTACTACGTTCCC